TGTAATATTACTTTAAATATCAAACTCTTTCCTATATATTTGTATTATTATATAATATTTTATAAATTTGTTTTTATATATGTGTGATATTTTAATTTCTATAATATATAAATAATATACGATATAAATAATTTGTAACATAAATGATGTATACTTTTCTAAAGATTTTAAGTAATGAAACAAGATTATATTTTCTGCAGCTAAATATGCATAGGTATCGTGCGTGTTAATACTTAAATTAATTGCATTGCGAATATAAAAATATAATTCTCTTTTTGAAAAGCGAACGTACAACATACTTGATGTTTACGTAGCGTCGTTTTTAATAAAGAGTCTTTTTTATTGAGTTCATTTGCGCATACATTATTTGCAATAAAAACTTAATTAAGTCTTAATTGTTTAAAAACTTAATTATTTTTGCGTGACACACTCAATATGAAAAGTAAAATGTCGTATAAATATATGTGAATTTTGCTATTGTTATACGCTTTAATTATATTTTATTTGATCAAAGAGCGGACGCGTTATCTGCTGTCATAAAAAAGATTCGTTTTTAGCATGAAAGTTAGAGACGAAATTATGTACAACTTGAGGCATCTAGGTAACAACAAAGAAACGTTAATATAATAATATTATATTTGTTTCTATGTCGTATATATATTATTTGCATAAAGTTTATGTAATAAGTTACATAAAGAAATTTAAAACTTCTAAGAATGAAACAAACATGAGGAAGATAGTCGAAAAATAACATATACCTGAATTTATTTTTTTATATAAATTTGTTATTAGAGAGACAAACTAATACGTATTACACATGTGATGTAACATATAAACCTGGTTTTTAAATGACATATAATTATAAAAGTTTAGTAACATTCATCAGTAATATGTAATATACTTTCTTTGAATACGTTAAATAACATATTTTGCAGTAACTAGTACAGTTGCGTGATAAACGTTTGCCATAGCACTCAAGCTAAGTGGAAATGTTTGCTTTTATTCAATGTAGCATTGAACGGGGAAATAGAAGCTCGCACAATGCATACTGTTCAGACAATAAATTGTTTGTGTGTTGGTATAGTGTTGGTCTAAATCGTTAACTATCCGTCCGAGTTCAATAAACGTTTCTATAATAAACTTTAGTTCTAATCTAATGTCACTTCATCAAGTTGAAATATTATTATTATCTACGTTTGTCATTATATAGAGAATAGCAACTCGCGCATGTACCTACCCGATTAAAAACAAGAGCAATATATGTGTTCTCAGAGATTTTTACTAATTAACAATGAGAAAGCAAAAAAATAACATTAGTATACGATACTATACTAACGCTATTATTTATATAATTCAAATATTTTATTAAAATATTTTAACATCGTGTGACGCATCCAATACGACAATATCAGTTTGACCTATTTTCTGTGTGTACGTGTATGTATTGGTTCATTAAACAGCTATATATTTAAGTGAGTTTATTCAATAAACTGAATTATTTGTAACAAACTTATCGATTAAATTTGTAACCGGTGCCACAAAAATAATATCTTATTTAATTAAAATTATTTTTCCCGCTTCCTCTCTTTCCCTCTGTTGTCTCTCGTATACGCAATATTGTATAAACAAGTTTGCGATCCATCAGTATGTTGTGGCTGCATATTGGCCGCATATTAAATTGCAAATCAGGTGCCTCGGGTGTTATCGTCTAACTTATTAAGTGTCCCCGATACGTGAAAACTTTCTGACCTATTAAGAACTCGGGGGAATCCTCGAAGAAAACTGTTATTAGATATCAAACTTGTATGCCGTCGCGCAGGCAGCTGAGCTTAAGAATATTTACAAAATCTAAACATCTTCTCTTGCGTGAACAATTTTCTTACGTTTACATATACGTATGGAATACATTTTTGAAAATTCCGATCTTTTGCTTTTAAGTAAACTACACATGCGTCTTACTTTGCTGCTCGTAAATAAATCTATTCACAAACACAAGCAAACTTGTGTAATCCTCATCCAACAAACTATTTTCGTTCTCGATATAATCGTAGTAATTAAATATGAATTAACTAAACTAGATTGTGTGTTCAAATTAAATTTACGTTTGTTCAAAATAAATTTATGTATATTAGATTGCTTAGTTTACACATCTCAGATCTTTTGTTGCGTTTCTTGCGCGCACTGTGTCAAAGCTTCGTACGTATTATGGCAAACTGCGAGAACAAAACTACACAACAGGTAAGTGCAAATTTTCCCGGTTAAAACAGACTAAGTAGCGTGTTACGTATGCTTTAAGCAGACTATTAAACGGCAGTGGCACGTAAGCTCAATCAAGTTGCAAACGCATTGTGTAGTACAGAATGCATAAATTATACGCTAAACTAAGCTAGATCGTCTGAACACGATCCAGGATGCGAGGATGACGAAGTGACGTTCATTAAACCTGCAGTTGCAACAATTAATTGACAGAGCACCTGGCAGCCCGGTGGGACGTTACCACCACTGCGTGAAACGCTATTTGAAATTGAAAATGAGAAGTGTTCTTGTCTGTTGTCCGATTCAAAAGTTGCGGTAACATATTTAAGTTAGAAAATATACATAAATATATACAATTGTTATATTTAAATGTTATTTGCACGTATTTCTCTTTTACTTTTTTTCACACATCTTCTCTCGCTTTCAACTATTGCTACTTTACAAAAGTACTCGACTCAACTAAAATATCAAATTTCTCTCCTCTATATTTATCATCAGAAATATTTTGAGTAGATCGCGTCAGTTTTCAATAGTTTTATTTCACAGTATTATTTCAAACAATTAAACCGCCATACGCACGCACTATATTTGAATATTTATGTAAATATCAAAACAAACCCAATCAAATGATATTCTCTGATTGTATATTTGTTAGAATTATCACAAACCTGACATAATATCTTTGTTTCCATTTGTACGAGCTTTATTTCCCACGAGATATGCACCATCATGTTGATCTCTACGAGCAACAATGGTCAGATTAGTATTATCCGTTGTAACACATATGTAATGTACACACTAGTTGCAATACAAGTACGTATATATAATATTGTGTACTGCAGCGAGCGTATAATACTATTGTATTTTGTCTCAGTAAAATGTAATGATTAACGCGTATTACACAAATAGTGCGCGGTTGCTTTCACCTTTATTTTCTCCCGCGATTTGAATTATTCTGCGTCCCATAAATTTTCAGTAACAGCTCCCACAGAGCTTACGAAACAACAACACAGATCTGACCACAGGTTTGGCAATCCTGTGTACTTCACGTTTCTTCTCGCGAGCCGAGTTGTTATGAAGGCGGTACCGCGGCAAGAAGGAAAAATTCTGCTCTGGCAAGCACACCGAAAACCATCTCAATCGGAAATGTAAGGATAACGAATCGACGATACAATGCGCGTCCATTGTGACTGCCAAGAATTGCGGAACCTTATTCACCTGCGGATCGTGAAAAGCCATTTTCCCAGTAAAAGATACCTCCCGCGCGTTTGAAATTGTTTTCGTGATCGATATGTATATATATGTATACATGTATATATATATTCTGTATAAGGAAGATTTCCTTTTCTGAATAATAATATAATAAATTCGAGATGTGTGTATATGAGAGACACGTTTATAAACAGATACAACTCGCCACATTTATGAAGATCAATTTAAACCGTCTATTTCGATTTAAAGACTTCCTTGTGTAACTCATTCTCAATTTAGTTCTAGAAACTTGTATAGAAATTTTGATAATTATTTACATTAGGGGAGACCTCACTTTGATTTTGATGACTTTGAAATATGTTGTCAAGGTCAACATTCTGAACAACTTTTCCTTACTCGGCTCTTCGAGATATTCACAAAAACTTTAGTTAAATTTATCTCACGATTATACTTCATTCTTCATGTTCTTTTTGTTCGTGTTGTAAGCTGCGCTCCCTTGCATCCCCTCAAAAAAACCTAATCCTAATCCAACCTGTGTTATTACAATATCATTAATGTCACGATGCATAATGTACATTACTATATTGCATTAACATATTAGAGATTGGGTTGAGTAAGTTTTTTTCGGGGAAGGTAGTGCAGGAAAAGGAGCAAAGCTCTCCCTGTCTACACACAACACAAAAATATTACGTAAATGTTTTTTTCTGAATGTTTACATTAATTACTGCTTTCACTGTTATATCATTAGTTCGAAAATCGCAAGAACAGGCGTAGTCTCTGTATGAGTTTTGCCATCTCATGTATTTAGATTTTTGTGAATATCTCGAAAACTAAAGCCGAACGGCGGTCATATGTATAAAGAAAAGTTGTTCAGAATGTTAACTTTGACAACATATTTCAAGGTCATCTGAATCGGTGAAGTCTCCCCTAATGTAAATAATTATAATTAAAATTTTTATAAAGAAATTTGTATAGAGAAATTTCATATATTTTAGAAATTTTATATCAGAGTTTTTCTTATCGATGTGTTGTTGAGATCACATTATCTTTTCTAAAATAAATTTTACATCTTCTGTCTTTTATCAATAGTTATTAGTTAAAACTATTTTTTCTAAACTTAATATAACGAGAGTCCTTTGATATCTAGAACTTCTGAAGATATGATTAGTGAAAACGCACAAAAATATGTATAAGTAAAAGTATGTATATATAAAGTTACTTTTTTTCTTCGATTCTCGAAAGAGGCATATGTGCAAATTAAAATAAAAAATTGAAAAGAACATCTATAAAAAAAATGTACAAAAGAACATATCGAGAAATTTCAATATAAAATAAAAGAACTATTCACGCTTTCTTTGTAGAAAGGGTCGTCTCTATCTAATCTTCTCTTTTCTATTTTTCACGTGCTCCACACGTTTTCGAATTTATTCTCGCTACGCGAATTACGTGCGCTGTACAGTGCTTTTAAAGCGCTACGAGACTTGCAGTTTTCGAGGACTCAATCAGTTCCGTGAAGCAAAGATAATCGTTACCTTGTTTGCCGGCCCGCACGACGACTGCACGAATCGTCAATAAAACGATAGCGAGGGCGACGTTGATATGCAGTGAATAGCGCCGCATCTCCGAAACGAAGAAGGGGCCCAGTCTCGCTACGTGCTATCTGTGCGCGTCTTCCTCATGCCCTTTTTTTCACATAAGTTCTTTCGGGACGGACGATTCACGAGATTACGCGCCGTGAAAATTACCGTCTCGAGGTAGCGCAGCGTCGAGTGGCGCGCACACACGTATCACGGTGAAGAAGCAGAGTACTCTTATCTCGCTGCACTATTTTCCTTCAGGTGCGTCCAGTATTTCACCGTCGCGATCGCGCCTCACACCTCACGCTTCGTCCCGTCACTCGTCCCGAATTCTCGGAAACTCGCCATCCATCTTACGACTCGTCATCATCTATTTTCGTCGCGATCGCGAGATATTCTCGGAATTCGAAGTGTCTCGGAAAGAGCGCGTCGGGATATCGTCCCGGGTATAGTCTCAGTTATTGTCGTCGTCTACCTGGGATACAACAGCCAGCGAGGCGCGTCGAAAAAAGAAGAGCAGAGCGCAGCGAACGAAGCGAATTGGACGCGAATTATCTCGCGCGGCGAAAACCGTCGACGACCCGACTCGCGGCAGTTCGCAGCCACGAGTGACGCTCGTTGCTGGGATGCACCGGTTGTGCACGGCGAGCTGAACATGGTGCAAACGGACACGCCAATCGGTTCTACACGTCCGCTCGACGTCCCTATCGATTGTGATTCGTTGCGAGATCCAAACGCGAGATCGATTCGTCGTCGTCCAAATTTACTGGCGTCAAACATCCAATGCTTTTATTTTTAATTGCTCAGCGACAATACACGATCCGTGTTAATTGTCGATCTAAAACAAAAACGTCGTCGCGCCATGCTTAGCACGATATTTAATCAATTATCTCTCATGTTTGCTCAGTTTCAGTTGCGAATACAACGTGAACAATTCAAATTGACTAGTTCAAATTTAGTCTCTGATTGCGATAGTTCATTGCTTCTTATAAAACGTGTTAGAAGTAAATGAAACGTTATTGTGTGCGTAGTAGTATTGAAGAAGTCAAATTGATACGCGTCGATAACGTTCGAGCACTAACATGCCTCGCGTTCGGTGTGTGGTGATTACGTGAGAATACACGTGCGCGCGTCCGGTTTTCCTCACGTCTTCCGAAAGCCCAAAATCCTTGATCTTCTTTTCCACAAATCACCGATTTTGTCGTGTTCTAATCAGAGTTCAAAGGGCGAAAGAAGAGCGGGTCGTTTATCAAAACTTCGTTATCCCCGCCGGAGAAACGGTTCGCGAAGTTTTTTTAAAGCTGTCGTTCTTTGCTTGCTGCTGGATTGCTGCTTAACGAATGCGAGTTTTTGCACGCGGATGCCGAATACACACAAGCGCGATCACAATGCATGCTGAAAAGATGAGCGTCTCATAATTCACCACCGTTAAAAGAAAAATATCCACAGGAACCTCCACTTTCCTTCAGTTTAAAAACTTCGAAATCGTTTAATTGCTGTTCAAAAACTAGAAGAATTATCTATTTCTAAGTTCTCCATTCGCTCCTCGTTCAAGTCGCGCACATTTCTCGAATTTTTTCGCTCGAGTCAGCTCGAGATTCATCGAACGCGTCATATTATTTTTTTTCTCATCATGTTCGCCAAACGTGTAAAAATTCGATTTGTTCGAAGATCGTCGTTATTGGCGAATCTCGATCACGCTGGACCGAGTCACGGAATCGCACTTGTTCGCGTAACGTCAACGTAACCGACGTATCACCGATTTTCCAGCCTCCTCGCGGTAACACTCATCGCGCTGTAACGTTTTGAAATCTATCTGCCCGTTATAATCGACTGTCACACGTAGATCCAGATGCGCGCACACGTCCGATTCCCGCGAGAAGCGGGTATAAGGGTTGAATGAGCGTGTCACCGGACCGACAAGGAGTACTAGCGCGCGTGCGGACGGACGCGGGCGCAGTGGCGCGAGCGTACAACAAGCCCGTCCGTTCTCGCACTTCGTCTCGGCGTGGGCGGTTCGAGCGCCGACGCCGACGCCGCCGCCGACGACGACGACGACGACTCGGCGAGCCCGAGTGATCGTACACGGTGCTAAGCACCGCGCGAAATCAAAACGCAATTTGTATTTACAAAAATTTGTTAGTATAAGGATATCTTATTCAGATTTTATTTCATCGGTTTTGTGGTTTTATTACAAAACGATCTCAACAATGAAATTTTGTGTACAAAACAAACATAATAGATTTTCTTGTATTACACATCATAGAAATGAAATAATAAAATAATAAAATATATTTTTGTGCCTTTTAACACGTTCCGTGCCGGTCCGATTTTCGATGACTTTTTGTTCACGCCGTATGGGTCGTATGCGCCCCACGCTTTCGAGACTACCAATTTTGTTTATGACATATGTTTCATAATATTTCTACGATTGCAGAAATCATTATTATCAAGAAAATAGTAGTGAAATGCCCACGATGTTATAACTATATTGTATATGATATTTAGGCATCAATATGAATTTAGAAAATATTTTATGATAATGTCACACTCAATAGCAAAAATAGCATATGGCCTAAACGGAAAGTCTTAGAGTGGAGCGTATACGACCCACGCGGCATGGAACGTGTTAAGAAAAAGATTAATTAATTGATGATTTGTAACAAAATTCTGTTGCTTTTTTATATTTTTTATTTGATATAATCAATATTTTTTGATATATTTTTGTGTTATATTGCCTTTTATCTTTTCTCTTTTTAACAGTTATAATTTCTCCTTCAGTTTGTGCAATTTTTTCAGTTACTGCACTTTGTATATGTTATGATTACTACATAAATCTTTTAAGCAATATGAATGTAAAATAATATAGTGTTACATTTTAATTTTTACCGGTATAAAATGAGCCGCTGCGGTCTTTTCGGTCCGATATAATTCCCTCTCTGCATCACCGTGCACCACTTTGCTTATTCAACTCGTGTTTATTCGCGATAATTTTCTCTCTTTCACTATGCTCCGGATATTTCTGGCGTTGTTCTCTCGGGCACAAATTCTCTGGTGAATTCGGAACCTCGATATCTTTATTAGCAAATATGGATAAAGCAACTACTTCTATTCTATGTTTTTGTTAGTACACTCGACTCTTCCAATGTGTGTAGCTAGTTAGCGTGTATACGCGAACGTTTAAGTTAAATACTAGTAACGAATTGCTATGCTTTTATGCGGAATCGTAAAAAATGTGTGAGGAGAACGCCGTTTATATTCTATTTTATATTTCGCGCGATTTTTATACAAATTTTTTTGCTTATTTTCAATATAAAACATTATAATCGTTTTTCAATTAGTAAATAAATTAAGATCGGAAAACACATGTAAGCTTCACACTATAATGCTGTCACAAAAATAATTCCTACAGTTTTATTACATGTATTCTTCCTGTTTCGTAGATGTTTTATTCAAGATGTCATATTTCATTGATGAGAATGATGACATTTCTTTTAATTTGTTAGAGATCTATAGAATCTTTACTGTCGACAGAGACTATGACGGTATTTCTAGAACACTCCATATATCCATCAAGCGATAGTAACTTTGGAAATTGTTTTTCGAACAACTTGGAAAAGATCCAAAGCGAAAACTTTCTACTCATCGTAGTGATATCGGCGAGTATGTATGTATGTAAAAGTAAATGAAACTTCAATAATCGATATGTGAAATTCAGTCGCGTATTATTTTTAATGATAAAGTGATAAGATGGCGTGTAGTATTTTTACTTTTTTTTGCAGTTGCAAATAAATTGACTCAATTATAAAAAAAACTACATACACATTTTTCGTAGAAAACAGATTTGTTTTTTTTTTATCGCGTTTGATTGTCTACATATTACTTTACTTAAGGCATATAAACAAAAAAAAAAATATTTTTACTTATTTATAGATGATAATACAACGTAGATTGTGTTATCACATGGAAATTTTAATAAAAAAATTTATGTGAAATTATCGTCTAATTTAGCAATTATGACGTACTATTAGAGGGTAGAGAATTATACTAACGATTTCACACGAATAATTTATGTCGTTCGAAATGTAAAGCAATTAACTAAATTAATTTAATTAAGCTTCAATTTAATTTCCTTTTACATGCCATTTTTTTAACAAAAAGATTCAAATGTATTTAATATACAAAACTAGAAACCAAGAAGTAAAACACTTTTAGAATTTGTAACGTTAGAATTCAGAAAACCTCGGTCTTCTGAAAGAGGAGAATCGCGCGACTCTCGGGACATTCTATACACGAACGAAGAAAATCTCAGCAATGCGCATCCCGACTGTGTCATCTTGTGCTTGCGGAACGTCGCTTACCGGTACTAAAGAAGGCGAGGAGATATAGAACTTTTCGCGAACCTTTTTCGGTGTTGGGACCGCTGGTCTTAGATCCGTCGAAAGATTGAAAGGAACTTATTATCCCCTGGGCTGTCACGATTTTTCCCTGTTCGCCGCTATTCAGCTTTTATACACGCGGTGAAGAATTCTGACTCTACGCGCGCGAGTGCTTTATAATAAATGATCCGTAGAAATATAAAATATTAACATGTATATGCTGCGAATAAATATCACAAAATTCCATACTAAGATATCATTTAACATATTCGCGTTCGTCGCTGAATCAAAGTTTACATTCATCTCAAAACACAATTACCAATACTCTTATTAAGTCGTTGGAGAAAACTCTGCTTGTTTCTCATCAGTTTTACAATTACTCGCAATTCTTGCAATTTTGATGAACTGTTAAGACATTTTGTTAAAACATATTCAATACGACTGAACTCAATAATGGTGCTGATCTGTATCAGAGATATTTGCAGAATTCAATTATGATTAATAACGGAAGAATTTTGTAATCGATTAAAAGACGCGACTGAGCATACGGTGACAAATGCAAGTCAGCAGCATCAGATTTGCATCTCGTGCTGAGATCTCGAGTTTGGAAAAAGTAAGCGCAAAGCCGCGGGCGTCTACGACGAGATATCAGTGACACCGCGTGATTAATTAAGTACACGACGATGAGAGACTCTCGGAATACTCGGAGAAGCACTTCGGCAACGCGATGATAGAATGAAGCTGCCGCTTCCAGACACCTGTGACTGCGAATGTTGAGCAAGAGACAGATATAGGTGGAGAAAGAAAAAGAAAGAGGGAAGGAGAGAGAGAGAGAGAGAGAGAGAGAGAGAGAGAGAGAGAGAGAGACAGAGAGACTACAGAGTAGTTCAATCACCTCTCGACGGTCAGACCGTTGGCCGTACCAACGAATTTCCGATAGACATTTAATTATCTTCGCTCAAACGAGGGGCTACGTTTAAATTCCACGAGAGCTCGGTCGTTCGCATTCCGAGCCGACCCGATAGCTTTGCTCACTACATGTGATTACTATGAAAGTGTCGTGGTGGAAAAAAAACATAGAATGCGATGCGTAGCTTCGTTGTATGAAATCCGATATTTTTCCTTATTGTCTAAAAAGGCCAATGTCGATACTTAGTGAGAACAATAGTTATTTTTCTAATATTTATA